GCGCCAGGAGCGCATGCGAGCACTTGGGACGGAGCGCATGGGACGGAGCGCATGGGACGGAGCGCCTGGGAGCGCTTGGGTGCGCCCGGGAGCGCCTGGGAACGCTTGGTAGCGCTTGTCAGCACTTGGGGCCCTTTGGGAGCGCCCGGGAGCGCCTGGGAGCGCCTGGGAACCTTTGACAGCGGCTGACGCGCCTGGGACCGCCTGGGAGCGCTTGGGAGCGCATGGGAGCGGCCGAGAGCATTGGGAACGCTTGGGAGCGCTTGGGACACTTGGAAACGCCTGGAGGCGCCTGGGAGCGCTCGGAAACGCCCGAGAGCGCCTGGGACCGCTTGGAAGCGCCTAGGAAGCACCCAGGACCGCTTGGGAGCGCCTGGGAGCGCCCGGGAGCGGTTGGGAGCGGCTGAAGCGCTTGAGGCGCCAGAGAGTATTTGGGAACGCTTGGGGGCGCATGGGAGCGCCTGGGAGCGCTGGGAGCGCTTGGGACCGCCTGGATGCGTTGTGAGCCCCTGGTACATTATTGAATTTGTATAGTCAAACACAAGAACCTGTGCCAGCGGCGCACGTAGGAAGGAAAGTCTCGTAGGATTATGCACGCATGAACAGAAAATGCTTCTTTACAAGGAATGGCAAGGGTGTACGGCGGCGACCGCACGCTTGTATCGCAAATCGCAATAGATTCTGCACGCACGATCAAGAAATAATATTTTTGACAATGGATAATGCCGGTTTACATGCCCGGGTCGCACCCGGTACGTACGCGATGCGTATGTAGCCGGGGGCCGGGTCGGTTTTTGGATTTTTAAGGTTTCATAATCATAAGATTAGAGATCTACAAGCTCTGCCGCAGCTGATCCCCTCTTGCCTAGGAGCCCACCTGCGGTGGCCGCCAGTCCCACCCGCAAACCACCCTACCATAAAGATCATCTCCCCCCTCGTTGTAAATACAACGAATGGGAGCGCTTGGGAGCGCATGGGAGCGCCTGGGTGCGCTGGGAGCGCTTGGGAGCGCCTGGAACACTTGGAAGCGCCTGGGAGCGCCTGGGAGCGCCTGGGAGCGCTTGGGAGCGCCTGGGAGCACCTGAAAGCGCTTGGGAGCGCCTGGGAGCACTTTCGGGGACCTAAAGAGTATTTCCTTGTGGAGGAAGATCTCATAGGTGTATGAACGTCAGGTTGCAAGGGATGGCGAAGGTTTACACCACGCATGATCAGGAAATCGCATGTTTTGCTTAGGATGGCGAGGTTTTACATGGCCGGGTCGTATGTTAGCGTATGTACAAGTTTGTTATGCGTTCAGGGTTTAGTAGTTATACGATTAAGAATCTAGGGTTTAGGGCCTACAAGCCCAAGCTGTACAAGCTCTGCCGCAGCTGATCCCCTCCTGCCTAGGAGCCCACCTGCGGTGGCTTCCAGTCCCACCCGCAAACCACCCTACCATAAAGATCATCTTTCCCTTCGTTGTAAGCACAACGGATACAACATTAATTTACAACGGACGGACGGGCGGGACACATCAGGGAACATCGAAAAAGAGGGAGCGCTTGGGAGCGGCTGAAGCGCCTAGGAGCGCCTGGGAGCGCTTGGGAGCGCTTGGGAGCGCATGGGAGCGCCTGGGTGCGCTGGGAGCGTTTGGGAGCTCCTGAAACGCCTGGAAGCGCCTGGGAACGCTTGGGAGCGCCTGGGAGCGCTTGGGAGCGCCTGGGAGCGCTTGGGGGCGCCTGGAGCGCTTGGGAACGCCTGGGAGCGTTGCGCGCGCCTGCAACATCATGGAATTCATATGGTAAAACACAGGATTCTGCGACAGCGGCGCACTTGGGAAGGAAAGTATCATAGGTGTATGAACGCACGATCAGACAATATTTGTTTGCAAGGGATGGCGAGGGTTTGCGTCCGCGGACGCGCATTCGCATTGTAAAACGCAATGGATTATGCACGCATGATCCGGAAATGATATATTTTGCAAAGGATGGCGCCAGTTTACACCCAGGGGTTGTATGTACCCGGTTTTTCGGCGTTGGGGGATTAGTAATCTTAGGATTAAGAATTTGGGGTCTGCGATGATATTCTTTCCCCCGTCCCCCGCATGGTCTGCTGGGGCGGGGGCGCACCCTGAGAGCACGCATCGCGACGCTGCTGGCCGTGTTCTGATCTCCTGGCTTCTGTCGTGCAGGTTCTCGTCGCGTGCTTGCTCCACTTCCATCTTTGCTCCGCGGAGGCGTCGGCTGATAGTATTTCGTTTTTCCTCTCGATTTCCTTTGTACCTCCGCCGCGCTCGAGTCGGCCACATCCGTCAACGTCTCCGCACTTCCCTTTCTACCTCCACGTGTTTGTTCTTCCTCTTCCTGTCTTGGTGTCCTGTGTTCGTGGGGTACCGGTCCGTGCTGGTGATCTCGCCCTCCTCTTGCTCTTCCTCATCACGCGCCTTTTTCTTTTCCTCGTGCTCTACGCTGATCTGGCTCAGGCTGATGGCCTTTGTGGCCTCCTGCTCGAGCAGTTCGTCCAGTCTTTTCTTCGTCGCAGCTTCGCTTTCTTCCAGGTGCTGCTCCTTCTTTGCACTTTTCTGATCTTCCAGATCTACAGTGTCCTGCTCCTTTTCTATTCCTCTTCCTTGCGGTTTGCCTCGTGTCCGCGCGGGGTCGTCGTCGATCCCCTGGTTGTAATACCAATCATCCAAGTCTTCCGTGGGTAACCATTGGCTATCTTTCATCCACATATGTTGTGAGTAATTCCAATATTCGTTCTCCTCCCACCGTTCATCTTCGTCTTTCTGCAACTCCACGCTGTCTATCTCCTTCTGTAGTTTGGCCTCCTCTTCCATTTGTATATATATATGGTCGTAGGCCCACCTTTCATGTTCTCTGAGCTCTTCCTCTGCTTGTTTCTGGGCTCGCAGGCGTTGTTGTTGCTCCTGTCTTGCGTATTCCTGCGTTTGCTTCTCGAACTCCTGATGTAGCTTCCATGCCTCCGCCCTCTGGTCACGCTGTTGCTGGTCCTGCGCATTCCGTTGCGCTTGCTCCCATATCTGTTGACGAGCCCGTTGGCACTCAGCTTCTTGCCGCAATTGCTCCTCCTGCTGCTGCCTCTCAATCTGCCTTCTCTTTTCCGCATCCTCATTGGCCTGTTGCTGAGTCATGGCGAACTGCTCCTTCATCCGCCTTTGTATCTCTTGCTGCTGCCTCTGCCTCTCCATGTGCACCTGCTGTAACTACTTCACCATATCCGCTCTGACCTGGTACCCTCTCTCTCCTCAGCAACTGTTTGCTGTGCGAGTCGGATTTCTGCCTGTTGCTTGTGGAGATGATCTTTCTCTTGCTGGTGTCTCTGGCTCAGGTTGGCAAGCTCCTTCTTTCTGTCCTCCTCGCCCGTCTGGAGTCTGTCCATCATCTGCTCTGCTCCTCACATTATTTTCTATGCCTCTCCTGCAGCCCCTTCTCGCCTGTTTCTTCTGAGCTTCCTCCATCTGCTTTTCCTTCTTCTCCACCACTATCATGAGCATCTTGAGCTGCCTGTCATGCTTGTCCTTGTTCTGGTCTCCTTGCTCCTGTGCTCTCCTCGCTTGCTCTGGTGCCTGTCTCGCCCCCTCTGTGACGTCCCTGACTCGTCGTCTCGTCTCGCTGCTGGTGTCGCCAGGCTTCTTGATGATTTCATCCTGCTCCCTCATATATATATATATATATATATAGGCACCTCCGCAGTGTGTCCCCCAGCCGCCGCCTGGACTGAAGGCTGGCTGTGGCAGAGATCTGCCAGGCGGGCTCTCGCAGCAAAACCCTCATCTTGTTGCTCATCTCCTTCATCTCCTCGCTCATGATGAGGAACGTGTTCTCCATCTGATCCGTCCTCGACGTGGTCGCTTCTGACTCTGTGTTCGCCTCCTGCTTGTCCCAACTCCTCCAGACATCCCCGCGTGTCAATCGTGCTGCTTCTTCTTATTCTTCTTCACTCGGTTGATCTGCTTCGCATGCCTGTTCCTCCTCGTCCTCATTTGCAAGCTCCTCCTGCTCCCTGATGTAGGCGTTAGCAATCCTGAGGTTCTTCTCCATCTTGGCGATATCCTTCTCCATCTCCTTCTGCTGCCACCATGTTCGCAAGCTTCGTGACAGTATTGTCCCTTGTCGCCTTCAGCTGCGCCATCGTCTTCTTCTTCTTGTGTGGCTGCACCAGCTGTATGCTATGGTTGAGGTCTGCTGTGTCTTTGACTTCCTCTCCGACCTCCTGGTTGTCTTTCCTCTTTGCCACGACCACTCCTGCTAGGACCCTTATCTATTTCTCCACCTTATTCCTGAAGGCCCACTGCATGGCGTAGTCTGTCGGCGGCTTCTCAAATATTTACTCGTCCTCGCCTCTGGTTCTTTCGCAGGGGGAGTCTGGTTTATGATGTGCTGTATATCCTTGTCCCCCCTCTGCTTGTACTAGTTGTCTTTTTTTCTGCCAGCTACTTCTCTCGATCTCCTCCCACTTTCTGACTTGTCCTTTCCATGGCTTCCGACATGTGCACCACCGCTGCGTCGTAGCATTCCACTCCGTACAGCCGCTGCATTTCCATGTCTGCCATGGTGCTTGTCCAGTCGCCACGTGCCCCTTCTGGTAGCTTTCTCGGCGCTGAGCTGAATGATGATCACAGAGAAGTTCTTCCGCTGCTGCCAACCTCGTAGAGCACTTCGGCATCGATGCGCTAGAGGAATTCCGGCGCGGAGTGGAGCTAGTACCTCGTAGAGCTCTTCGGCAACGATGAGCTAGAGGAATTCCAGCGCGGGGTGCAGTAATACCTCGTGGCGCTCTTCGGCATAGGTGGCGAAGCTAGAAGAGCACTACCTCGTGGAGCTCTTCGACGAGATGAGCTCAGAGGAATTCGGGCGCGGGGTGGAGCTAGTACCGAGCAACAGCCTGGCCTCCCCTCTCTCTCCACGCTGCCTGCCGTGCGCTGCTCCCTCCGGTGCGCCTCCCCTGCCGGCTCGCGGCGCCCTGCCGCCGCGGCCGCTCGCGGCCGCTCGCCAAACATGGCTGGCGCGGCACGCGTTGCAGCCGGGGCCCTGGAGAAGGAACCCTTTTCGTTGGGTAGGGGCTCCGTGCTCCTTGATAGTTTCACAGTGGAGGAGGAGGAGGAGGAGGAGGAGGAGGAGGGGGAGGAGGAGGAGGAGGAGGAGGAGGAGGGGGAGGAGGAGGAGGCCCCACGTTTTCCTTAGGTATTCGAAGGGAAATCGAAGTTCAACCGATGGGAAAAGAGGGGCCTCGTTCCTTATTTCGGGTTCCTCAGGTCAACGCCCCGACTGTAGCCCAGGCCCAGGGGCTGGCCGATGCGCGATCCGCGCCCTGCCGCCACGATCGATCGGGCGGCGGGCGCGACCGCACCCCCGATGGAGCGGTCGGGATCGGCGGGCCCCGTCAGAGGCCAAATGGGCCTTCCCCACCTCGTCCTCCCGCTTTTCTTCTTCTTCTTGGTCTGTTTCTTCTTCTTCTTCTTCTTCTTCTTCTTCTTCTTCTTGTTATTCTTCCATGTTGTAGCGTTACAGTACACTCCTGGCGTAGGACCCAGCCCTCCCAGCCTGCCCATCGAGCAGCCAGTCAGACGGTTGCACGGCGCGCCACTTCTTCATATAGTCCTCCTCCTCTCCCCACTCCACCTCCGCCTCCTCCCCCTCCCCGTCCTCCTTGTCCCCCTCCTCCTCCTCCTCCTTCTCCTCCTCCTCCTCCTCCTCCTCCTCCTCCTCCTCCTCCTCCTCCTCAACATCATCATCGTGATCATCGTGCTCTTCCGTAGCCACTGCGGCCCGAGGCCCGAGAGAAGGCCCTGGCGCCGCCTGCGCCCGCCGCCGCTGCGCGGGGCCCGCCTGGCTGGCAAATCCCCGTCTCCTGACCATGGAAGCCGGCGGCGAGGAGCCCGCCGCCACCGCCGACGACGGCGCCCGTCCTGCAGCGGGCCGAGAGGCGGCGCCCACGGACGAGGCGGAGCTCGGCGCCCCCGGCGGTGCCCTGCCGGTGCCTGCCGTGGACCCGGTGCCCCCGACCACCTCCGAGGAGGAGCGGTGCGCGGACGACAGGAGCAGCAGGAGCATCGCGTCAGCGGAGCATCCAGAGCACACGTGCGCGCACGCGGAGCGGTGCGCGGACGACAGGAGCAACAGGAGCATCGCGTCAGTGGAGCATCCAGAGCACACGTGCGCGCACGCGGCTCTGGCGAAGGTCGCGCGAGGGGCCCTCGTGGAGGTGGTCGGCCTCGAGAGGAGCGCCGACCTCAACGGGAGCATCGGGAGGATCGGAGGCCACGATGAGGCCTCGGACACCTACGTGGTGCATTTCGCCTCCGGGCGCCCGTCGAAGGCCAGGCTGCGGAGGCAGAACTTCCAGGCCGCGCCAGAGGGAGCGGCCGAGAAGGCCCAGGCGGAGGCCCCGCCGCCGCGGGAGGCCGCGGACGCAGGGCTGGCGCCCGGGCAGGCCATGGTGCCCGTGACGACGACGTTCGGGCTGGGCCAGACCCACCAGGAGGAGGCGCAGAGCTCCTGCCCCGGCCTCGTCTCCGTCGTGCACACGTATGCCGCCGTGACGAAGCGCTGCCCCGTCGCCCTGATCGTGCTCTACCTCGTCCTCCTCGTCGCGCTCATCGCGGGCGGCTGGCGGACCTTCGAGCTGGACGAGGAGTTCTCCAGCTTCGTCAATGCCGACGGCCAGGCCATGCGGAACCGCGAGGCCTACCTCCTCGCACTGCAGGAGATGGGCGACTCCGCCGACGGCCGGCGCCTGCTCGGGGTCGGCGGCGACGCCGGGGCCGCCCGGCGTGCGCCGCGGACGGAGGCCGCCCGCGCCGGGGGCGACGCGGCGAGGGCCGAGGGCGCCGAGGCTGCGGCGGCCACCGCGGCGAACGGGTCCTCCGCACACCGCCGGCTGTCGCAGGCGTACTCCATGAACTGGCTGAGGCGCTCCGTGACCATTCGGGTCGGGCGAAAGGGGGGGATATTGGGAAAGGGGGGGTTACGAGATTTGCGGCATGCAGCTGGTTTCGGCCTCACCGAGGGGCCCATTCCTCGATACATGGCCGCTCCCGGCGCCGGGAGGCGCCGGGAAAATCAGCTACGTGAGCTGATTCTCACACCCCCCCTTTGCTATCCCCCCCGTTCGCCCGACCCGAACCATCTACTACGTGTCCAGGGACGGGAACACGTTCAGAGAGCGCGCGTTGAGGGACCAGCGGGACTTCGAGGCAGAGCTCCGCAACGGCACGAGGTGGCAGAACTACTGCAGAGAGAAGGTCGTCGCGGAGGCCGAGCGGTGGATGTGCGATCCGGGCGAGTCCTTCGCCGCCCTAGCATACCCGAGCCAGGGGAGCGCCACCTCTGCGCACGAGGACTTCAAGCTGGCCTACGACGGCCGGGGCACCGACCTGATGTCCCTTCGCGCGGTGTTCGCGCAGATGCAGGACGGCTTGGAAAACGGTAACGACAAGTCGCGGGAAATTATCCGGTATTTCCCGAAATCGTTCGAGATGCCGGATGTCCTGAACACCGACTCTGAGATCGAGAAGACGATAGCAATCAGAACCACATTCACCTGGTACATCTACTTTGGTAGCTTGAGCGACTCCGTGAGCGAACAGCGGGATGGCAAGCAGAAGGAGAACGAGGAGTACGAAGAGTTCTTGGTTGACTACATCTACCCTATCCTGCAACAGGCGAGCGACAAATACTCCAACGTGCACATCTACTACACAGGTGACCTCATCAAGAGCCACGAGATCAGGATCACGCTGTGGAGCGACATCCTCCTGGCCATAGGGTCCATCATCTTCGTGACGATCTTCATGTGGGTTCACATGCGGAGCCTCCTGCTTGCGCTGGGTGGCTTCTTCATCATCTTCTCCTCCGTCCCGGTGGCCTACGTGCTGACGCCCGTGGCCAAGACCACGGTCGCTTCCTTCCTGTCGCTGTTCCTTGTCACTGTGATCGACATCGATGTCATCTTCGTGTTTGTGGACATGTGGGAGCAGAGTTCCCGCATGAAGAATCCTACCATCGAAGGCCGCTTGGTGGAGATGATCATGCGCGCTGGGAAGAGCACCCTGGCGACCTCGCTGACGACGTCGCTGAGCTTCTTCGCCAACCTTGCCAGCGCGCTCCAGCCGCTGCGTGAGTTCGGCCTGTTCATGGGCCTGTCGGTCATGAGCGTTTATTTTCTCGCGCTGCTGTTCATGCCCCCGCTGGTGGTCCTTCGCGAGCGCTGTGCCGACGAGGCCAATAGGCGCAAGATCATGACGCGCACCATTGATATCTCGCTGGGCCAGATGACTACGCTGGAGGTCAGCAGCTGGGGGCCATGTTCGTTCCTCTGCGGCCCAATCGATAAGGACAAGCCTCGTCTCGTCAACTCGCTGCTGGCCAAGCTCGTTGACAGCATCGCGGGGTGCAGCTGTGCGCTGCTGTGCCTCACGTTCCTGTGCCTGCCGGTGTTCTTCTGGGGCATCGCCACGCAGATCACGGTGGACACGGGCATCCCGGAGATCTTCCCCGAGGGCCACAACCAGGCCGAGGTGCTGAAGTACGCCCCCGACTTCGACGCCGCCGACGACCTCTCCGTGTGGATCGGCAACGTCGAGAGGGGCGGCTCGGTCTGCAAGCTGGACGTCTTCGGGTCCAGGAGCCCCCCGGGCGAGGGCTGCGTCCTGAACTGGTGCGAGCTGGACGCGGAGGAGCAGCCTCCGGCGGTCGACGAGGCCCTGTGCTTCCAGGCGACCGCGAGGGCGGGAGCGGGCGGCGCGTGGGACGTCACTCCGGGGCACGGGGGCTACGACGGCTGCGACACCGTGGAGGTGGTCTCCCGCCTCGTGGCGGCGGAGGCGAGCTGGCCGACGTCGGAGGCTGCCTCCACGGCCTGGCTCCAGGAGTCGGGCGCCCTGACAACCTTCGCTCCGGGACTGGAGGGCCTCTACGAGCTCGACGTTTCGGAGAGCAGGTTCATCACGGAGCGGCCGATGGGCTTTCAGGATTGGCAGGCTGGGTCCGTCCACATGACGTCGTTGGCGAAGTCATCGGTGAAGGCCTGCCCCAGCTTGGTGGACAAGGAGGACGACGACCCCTACACGAGTTTAGACGACAAGGTCTGCCCATACGCATTGCCAGCGACGCCGACAGGCAACGACGAGGTCCAGAACGTGTCCAGCCGGCACTGCGAGATACACACCGTCTGCTTCGCCGGCACGCGGGTGTGCAAGATGCCGGACAATTGGGCCCTGGCCAACTTCACCCTCAACCTCAGCGCGGCGGTCGGCGGTTCTTCCGAGCGGCTGCTTCTTGCGCCAGACGCCGCCAGCGACCCCGTCGACGCCGTCCGCCGCCCCAGCGGAGGCCGGGTTGGGAGCCGCCCGCGCCGAGCTGCAGTTGGCCGGCAGCTGTCGGATTTCGAATGGTACAACTGGGACGTGTATATGGTGCCGTCGATGCAGAGCCGACCGACCGACAGTTGGTATCCCATGTACCCTGGAAACTTCGACGTCACGCTCGTGTACGGAATTCGTCCGGCCAGGTCCACGCCACTCGTCGGCAAGTGGCCCGAGTATTGGAGCTTCGATACCACCTTCGAGCCGTCAAACCCGTGGGCGCAGCGGGCGGTACTGAATATGTGCACGAATGCCTTTCTGACCTACGACCTTTTCGTGCTAGATCCCGATGCGTACCCGTCTGAGGTTTATTGTTGGGCGTGGTATTTCAGACAGTGGTTGAACGAAGGGAACGGGGCTGGGTCGTTTCCATCGCGCGATTTCGACGCGGACTTCAAGACATTCTACGACCAGTATGATTCGATTACCACCGACGTGAAGAAGGACATCTGGATGGACGATGGCAAGATGAAGGCTTGCAAGATGTCCATGCACGTCGACCTGAGTCGCGACATGACGAAGGAAGCTGGCTTGAGCTACATGAGCAAGTGGGATGCTTTCGTCGAGTCCGAGAATGCCAAGGCGCACATGACTGCCAACAAGGCCTGGCACACGGCGCAGGTCTGGGTGAGCGCGGAGGCTCACGATGCCATTATCAGCGGTACAACGTCGACTATTCTCATCGAACTCCTGTGCAGCTTCACTGGGCTCATCATATTCACAGGGGATCTGATTCTCGCCGTCCTCGTGCTGACCCTCGTGATTATTAACATCAGCGGGCTCGCATTCTTCATGATTTCTATCATGAAGTGGGCCATCGGGCCGATCGAGGTGATATGCCTCGTGCTTAGCTGCCTCGATACGCCCGTTTCGATACGCAACCCGTGCCGTGTTCAAAACGTCCGTGTCAATACGTTGCGTGTTGGCTAAACGTAGTGGCCCACGTTTTGGCGAACGTATCGCGTCAGACCTACTTCAGATCTCGTAATAAAAGGGAGGGGGTCTGGACCCTCCAAGACAAGCCATTTCAGACCCCCCCCGTGGGAGAACCCTCCAAAACATCGTCCCCAGACCCCCCCAGGCCCTCCAAGATAGCCTGGAAGAGACCCCCCCCGAAATGAGACCCCCTCCCTTTTATTACGAAATCTGGAGTACGTGTTCAGTCTACGTGTTGAACTCCGTATCGATACGCTACGTGTTGCCTGTGGCGTGTCGGGGCAGCTGAGGCCTCGTGGTCTTCGTGGGCTTCTCCGTCACCTACAGCCTCCACATCGCGCACAACTTCAGCAGGATCCGCGAGGGAGACAGTCTCTACAAGGAGGCCCTGCAGAAGATTCGAAGACGGCAGCAGAGGAGAGCATCGAAGCAGAAGGCGATGGGCATGTTTTCCACCACCACCACCAGAAGCAGGAGGAGGAGGGAGTCCTCCTCCTCCTCCTCCTCCTCCTCATCTTCGTCCTCCTCCTCCTCTTCGTCCTCCTCCTCCTCCTCCTACTCGTCGTCCTCCTCCTTCCCCCCCTCTAACTTCTTCTGGTGGTGGCGGTGGTGGAAGCCAGGCCCACCAGAAGGCGCAGAAGAGGGGCGACCCCGCCCTGGGGGCGCCGGAAGACCAGGACGAGCCCTGGACACCGACTCCCTTCGACTGCCGCGTGGCGCGCACCCGCGTGGCGATGATGAGAGTGGGCGGTGCAGTGCTCAGCTCCACGGTCTCCACCATCGGCGGCAGCGTCTTCCTGCTGTTCTGCACTTAGCGGGCCCTGGAAACGACAGGGCCGATTTTTGTTACCGGTTTTCCGTTTTGCCGTTTTTGTTTGCCGGCTCCGACGCCGTTTTTGTTACCGGCTCCGTCGCCGTGTTTTGACCGGTTCCGGCTCCGGTTCCGAATTCCTGGAGCCGTTTTCGGTTGCCGTTTTTTTTTGCCGTTTCCGTTTTCAAGGGACATGTCTTTGGAAACGGTGGAAAAACGGCCTTGCCGTGTCCGGGGCCCACAAAGGTTCTGCACCCTCACGATCTTCCTCAAGCTTGGGGCCGTCATCATGTGCGTCACCACGCTGTCGGTGTTCTACACGGTCGTGTCCCTGCCCGCCGTGCTCATCCGTTTCGGCCCGTCCGGGGATCCGTGCTACAAGAGAGCTCCCAGGCGCATGTGGCGCGCCCTGACGGGCAGTGCAGTCCAGCCCCGCGCCGACGAAGAGCCCTTGATGCAGGTGCCCATGGATGACCTCGACATCCTGTACTGAGTGGCGAACTCGATGTCCTCTGAGTCCCGCCGGGTGCTCTTGCAGCCGACAGCGGCGGCGGTTGCCTTCCCAGGTTCCTGCTTCCTCCGTCTCCTTTCGTTGCCCTCCTCCTCCTTCTCCTCCACCCCCGTTTGCTTCCGACTCCTTGCTTCTGGTTGGCGCTGTCCTCCTTCTCCCTCCTCCCCCCTTTCTTTCCTCTCCACCCCGTGCCCCCCTTTCTCCACAAGCTGTGGCAGTCCGTGTGGGATTCCTTCCCCTTTGTGCACGAATCCACCTTCGTACAGAGTGGGACCACGCGTGTCATCACAGACTTTTGTATCCATGTATGTGCGTGTTGCTTCTGAATCGCTGCGCTTGTTTGCTCACGGCTGACACTCCCTGGCTACGCCATAAATTGGATGCCTGATTGTTTCACCGATGAATTCAACGAGTGACCTGGCCTTGATATCAGATCTCGTTGTTCGAACCTTTGTCTGGCGAATTCGTCTGCCTTGTGGTCCTGTGGTCCACATTTTTTGCAGCTCAACTGACAGCAGAACATCATCATCATCATCATCATCATCATCATCATCATCATCATCATCATCATCATCATCATCATCAGCATCAGCATCAGCATCAGCATCAGCATCATCATCATCGTACTCCTCTTCACCCCCTCCCCCATTTTTCCCCGGCAGTATGCAGCAAGCGACATCAATCAAGTGAAAACGGTAAGATTACAGAAACACCCGTCCCATTGTCCGGCCGTCAGGTCTGACAGTGGAATTGTTGTTTCTTGGGCATTTCAGCCCAGACTTTGCGCGAGCCGCCAATCATGAGTGTCGAATGCGTCCACCACGGCCCCAGAAATGCGACGTCCTGATTTTTGTTCGGGAAGGCGTCCCTGGAAGTCCCGACCCTTTCCCCGGTACCGGTTTTTCATCCTGAGTCGTTTTTTGACGGTCCTGGGGCCCGGCGAGGGTCTCTAGGGGGCGAAAATAATGAAAACCTCCCGTCCTGATTTTTTTGCGACGCCATCATGTCTGGGGTTGTTTCTTCCTGCGTCATGGGGTGACACCAGTCTCTGCACCAGGTCGGCCCTGTGCCGGTTCTCGACCAGTGCGGGATCAACGGAGGTCTCGTGGGAAATATCACGCGACGTGAAGGGCACGCCGCGTCGGCATTCTGAAGTTTTTCCTTTCTCCCCACAAACGCACGCGCGAATCCGGAGCGGGTACACGGGGACTGGGCGCCCCCGAGCGATGGCAAGCGCCCCGAGCCGTGGATCCTCGAGCCAGCCCGGGCCCGAGGCGCTCGGGGAGAGCTCCCCCTCGGGAGGGCCATGTGCGGGGGCCCCTCCGGAAGCTCAGACCCTGACCTCCGACGCCTTGGAGCAAGAGGATGTCGTCGGGCGGCGGTGCCCTCGTTCTCGGGGGCCCTCGCCGGGCCCCGGGGCCGTCAAGACAGGCGCTCGACGTCGCAGCACGGCAGGGGCAGTCCGCCCCCGCGCTCGGGCAAGCCGGGAGGCGGCATCGCTCATTCTCCGGCGGCAAGAGGCGGCTGCACGTAAGAGTGGCTCTTCGCCGGAGTGACCTTTGGTGCGGGCCCAGTGGGGTCCCCCGACCGCCGAACGCGGTGCGATGTTTTAGCGTCTTGCGCGCCCGTGTTCGGTCCCTCCGTGGCCCCCCAAAGGCCGCGCATCAAAATGACGAACGAACAACACACACACACACCCATACCCGTAGGGAGGTCGTTGGGAGGAGGACTGGCTATGGGTATGGGTGCGGGTTGTCGGACCCTGGGGAACGCTCCCGCTCGAGCGGGGACCCCCATCCGACAACACGCACCCATAGCCCTCTCCGATCCCCCTATGGGTATGGGTGTGTGTCGTTGGTTCGTCACAGAAGGCATTCTTACCCAGGGTCACTCCTGCGTGTAGCCGAAAGGGTGGGAAAGAGGGGGCGGGGAGGAAGCGGCCGTGAGCGGCGGGGAGGAGGGAGAGCGCTCACGCGGCGGGGTCCGCTGCGGAGCGGCCGGGCGGCCCGCCAGCCGGTGCTGCACCCCTGGCGGCGGGCGCGGGGCGGCGTCGCGGCCACGCCCAGGGACTGGGGCCATGCAGGGGCCGTCAAGACAGGACGCCGGGCGGGAAAACGGTTCCCGGGAAGTGGCCCAGAATTCTGGGATGGCCGAGGTCGAGCAGAAGATACCCCCCAGAGGCCTCAAGGGGACACCCTGGGCACCCAAGACGCTCAAAGACGGCCCTGGGCGCGCCAAAATGCCCCCTCCTCCTCCTCCTCCTTCTCCTCCTCCTCCTCCTCCTCCTCCTCCTCCTCCTCCTCGTCCTCGTCCTCCTCCTCGTCCTCGTCCTCCTCCTCTTCCTCCTCCTCCTCCTCCTCCTCCTCCTCCTCCTCCTCCTCCTCCTCCTCCTCCTCCTCCTCACAGATCCAGGCAACGGAGGTCTGGGCCCGGCTGCGCTCGAGGCGTGGAGCTCGCAGCTGGCGGCGCGGAGCGGCCGGAGAGGAGGGCTGGAGAGAGGGCAGGAGGGGAGGGAGAGAGAGAGGGGAGGAGGAGGAGGAGGAGGAGGAGGAGGAGGAGGAGGAGGAGGAGGAGGAGGAGGAGCGAGGAGCGAGGAGCGAGGAGCAGAGGAAAGAGGGGCGAATCTCGGGCGAGAGCAGAGGAGGCCGAGGCAATTTTCAAATGCCCCGCCACCGCGGATAAGCGGTGCAGCCTGGGCTCCGTATGGTACCGCCTGAATGCGGTGTGGGTCCGATGACGTCACGCTCTTTATCCCGCCGCTCGCGGGTGCCATAAAGATCGGGCGGGGGGCGGCACTTCCCTCTGGGAGGTTCGTGGTCGTTCGTTGTCGTCCTTCGCGTCTCGCTTCGTCGTCGTGTCCGTCGCCCCTTTCCTCTTTGGGAGTTGCGACGCGGCCCTGGATTAAGTTCCAGGGTGGACGTTGTTTGCGCTACTGAGCCAGAAAGTGGCCCTTCCCCCCGCCCCCCCTCCCCGCCCTGCTGCCGCCGCTGTCGCCGTTGCTGCTGTCAGGCCAGGGTTTTTTCTGCCCTGCCACCTCGGCCAAGAGGCGCGGCCTGGGCGCGGGGAGATCCCAGTGGCACCTCCTGGTCTGAAGTGAACCGCCGTTGACGATCACGGAGGCGGGGCCCGCGGCTTCCTGCCGGCAACCTCTTGGTTGCAGTGCTCTCTGCCGCGGGCATACTGTTGCCGTGATTGTGGGTGCGCGGGCGCTGGGCAACGTTCCGCGCTTTGTCCCTTGGGCGCCGATCCCGAGACCCCATGCGCCATTTTGGCGCGGGGTGTTGGGCAGTCCTCGGTTGGCTTTCTTTTTCTTGATGTCCTCCCTCAGGCACAGCGTTTCTGGTGCTATTGGGAGTTAGTCAGGGCAAGGAAACCTTGAGGTCAGGTGTCAGCTTCTGACCGCGATCCCCCGTTTTTGCGCGCGCGCCCTTGGTTCTGGCCGTTGGCCAGGGCACGTTGGCCCGCGCATAGTTGAGCGCCGCGGTTTTGTTCTGCCTCTTTGGGCCTGCAACATGTTCCTCCTCCTCCTCCTCCTCCCCCCCATCCTCCTTCTCCCCATCCTCCTCCTCCATCCTCCACAATTCATCCTCGATCCTCCATCCTTCCCCTCCCCATCCCCCTCTCCCTCCGCCTCCTCCTTCTTCTCGCCTCATAGTACACTATAGTATATGATAGTATAGTACAGTATATTGGATGTTCTTATGTTCTCTTCTCTTCTCGTTTATCTTCTGATCTTCCTCCTCTTCCTCATCCTCTTCGTCCTCCTCCTCCCCCCTCCCCTCCTCCTCCTCCCCTCCTCCTCCTCCTCCCCCGACTCATCCTCCTCCTCCTCCTCCTTTTCCTCCTCCTCCTCCTCCTCCTCCTTCTCCTCCTCCTCCTCCTCCTCCTCCTCCTCCTCCTACCCCTACTCCTACTCCTACTCCTACTCCTACTCCTACTCTCCCTCATCCTCCTGCTCCTCCTCCTCTTTCCCCTTCTCCTCATCCTCCTCCACCCGCCGTCCTCCATCCTTTATTCTCCATACTCCATCCTCCATCCTCCTCCTCCTCCCTCCTCCTCCCCCTCCTCCTCCTCCTCCTCCTCCTCCTCCTCCTCCTCCTCCTCCTCCTCCTCCGCCTCCTCCTCCTCCTCCTCCTCCTCCTCCCACTCCCCGCCTTCCTCCCCGTCCTCGTCCTCATCGTCCACGTCGTCCTCGTCCTCCTCCTTCTCCTCCTCCTTCTCCTCCTAGTCCTTTTCCTCCTCTTCCATCCTCCATTTTCCATTGTCCATCGTCCATCCTCTTTCCTCCAACCCCGTCCTCCTCCTCCTCCTCCTCCTCCTCCTCCTGCTCCTCCTCCTCCTCTTCTTTCCCCACCTCTTCCATCCACCATCCACAAACCACCATCCTCCCCCTTCTCCTCCTCCTTCTCATACGCCTCCTTCATCCTCCTCCTCTTCCGTTTCCTCCTCCTCCTCTTCCTCCGCCTCTTCCTCTTCTTCCTGTTCCTCCTTTTCCTCCTCTTCCCCGTCCTCCTCGTCCACATCCTCCTCATCATTTTTATCCTATTCCTCCTGCTCTTCCTGCACTTCCGTTTCCTCATATTCCCTCTGTTCTTCCCTTTGTTCCTCTTCATCTTCCGTTTCTTTGTCTGACATCCCCTACTACTACTACTACTACTACTACTACTACTACTACTACTACTACTACTACTACTACTACTACTACCACCACCACCACCACCACCACCACCACTACTACACTACTACTACTACTACTACTACTACTACTACTACTACTACAACTACTACTACTACTACAACTACTACTACTACTACTACTACTACTACTACTACTACTACTACTACTACTACTACTACTACTACTACTACTACTACTACGACTACTACTACTACTACTACTACTACTACTACTACTACGACTACTACTACCTTTACGACTACTACTACCACTACTTCGTTTACTACTACTACTACTACTACTA